CGCTGTTCCGGCGCTTTCGATGAATACATCACTAGTCTTCAAGGACTCTTTGAGGACGTTCAGGCGATCGCCTTCCTTGAAATATTCATAGAATCGTAATGGCAGCACACATTTAAAATTTTCAGTTTCCAATACTATTCGATCACCATATTTTGTATTTATGGTGTCGGCATTCACAATTCTAAACTTCTCCCCCACTTCCAAGTCCTTGACATTTTTGAATACTTTACAGAATGTACTGGTGTTGAGTGCGTTAAGATCCATTTTAACTGTTTCAAGAACACTATTGGACTGATTGAAACCATCGCTGCCGCTCACCCTTATATTTCCAACTCGTGACCTTGAAATCTACAGCGATACATTGCCGAACGATGATCGGCTTCTAATACTGGAGAAATTATTGCATGATATTGCTCGATTCTACGTCGGAATCGAACTCTATCGACTGCTACAGTTTCCCATGGGCCTTTCCTTGCTGCCCAGTAAGCAAAATGCCACGTCACCATTACATATGTTCTATTATTGGATTCATCGAATTTAACACTCTTCACCGGATTCTGAAGACTCATCCTTCCACGCTTGCAACTGTTCACTAAACTGCTCCAACTTTGCATCCCTTAGTTTCCGGATAATACACTCGTCACATATTTTATAGCTTAAGTAACTGTCACATATTGCCTCTCCTAACTCATACTTTGCGGCAATAGCTTGGCACTCCTCTGGGCTATATTCACCGCGTCCATATATCGCCTCGTGCTCTGCATCAAATGCTAATGCAGAAAAATGCTGCTTAAGGCGTCTCACGGCCGTTACGAAATCGACAGCTTTGGCCAATGATTCCTCAGCATATGCCATCCACGACATCTTTAATACATGTACACCTTGTAACGAACATATAGAGGCTTATATAAGCGTCAATCCCCACCACATCTTCAAAGTCATATTTAGAATATAGTGTAATTTAGAATCGGCCACCTCCGATACTTTATCTCGAGCGCAAACCTCGACCCCCTTGACTTTGACGTTAGCACAGGCGCAAACCTCGCCAGCAGAGTTACAAACCTAGTTACTTTTCTAGTGACTTTTTGATTTAGAATCGACCCCTATATCACTAGCAGAGTTTCAACCCTCTCGAGTGACGCAGAGTTTCAAACCTAGTTACTTTTCTAGTGACTGTTAGCAGAGTTTCAAACCTCTCGTGACCTTCTAGTGACTTTGAGCAGAGTTTCAAGCCTACACATGGCCTTCACTTT